GGCTTGTGCTTACGGTGTTCGAGTGGAGCACCGTATTGATAGTGGTTTGCTGAACATCCGTCCTTTCGGTGCGAGAACTCTAGTCTGTGAGACAACTATCCGTATGTTGCTGTTTGCTGACGACTGTGCGTTGTTTTCACACAGCGCGGATGAGTTGCAGCATATGATTAGTGCTCTGACTTAGACAGCGGCCAAATTTGGGCTCACCATCAACACAAGCAAAACTGTCTGTCTGTTTCAGCCTTCACCGGAGGTGCAATCTTCAATATTGCCGCAAATCAGCATTGGTGCTGAAGTATTGGAAACCACCTCCCGCTTTTGCTACCTTGTGAGTGTGATGTCGACTGATCAGCAGCTACCTAGTCAGCTGCGTATCCGCCTATCGAAGGCAGCGGAGGTATTCGGGAAGCTTGAGTACCAAGTGTGGAGCAACCATTAGCTTACTATTGGCACGGAGCTGATGGTGTACAAATCCATGATGCTGTCCGTTCTTCTATATGGCAGTGAAACGTGGACAATGTACCGACTGGATGTGCGATATCTCGAGCGGTTCCATCAGCAGTGTTTGCGACGGATTTTGCGCATCGGTTGGGGCGACAGAGTTGCTGACACGGAAGTGTTGCACCGAAGTGGAATATATGCAGTGGACTGCATACTTTTGCTGAGACATCTGAGATGGCTCGGTCATGTGAGCCGTATGGATTCGACGCAAATACCGAAACAAATCTTATATGGTCAGCTGAGTATTGGGAAGTGACATGTGGGGAAACCAAAGCTTCGTTACCAAGACATACTCAAAGTGAGCCTCTCACCTTGATTGCAGGTCATGGGAATCGGAGGCGATTGATCGGTGTACATGGCGCGATCTAATCACGAAGGCATTTGCCGAAGTGCGGGAGGAAGACCTCCTACACGCAGAGAAGAAGCGACATGTGCGGAAGCGACAAGCACCGATGGGCTGAACTCCATCGACGTCGAGCGCATGGTGCTGTAGCACATGCGGTCGCGAGTGCCTGAGTCAGGCATGCCTAGTGAGCCATGAGCGAGGCTACTCGGGACCACTAACGAATCGACGACGGGTCCTGCAGAGAACGTAGGCAGAACTGGCACAGCGTTTGTAGGTACGCTGTATCCGATTTACTCGCCGCGTGTTTGCATGCTAAGTCTATTTTTTCATGTTGTGGGTTTTCAATTTTGTCCTAATGCTTTTCTTTCTCATATAAATGTCTACCTGTACTCTCTTCTACAAACTTGCACACGTCGCTTAAGCCAATTGCAGTTAATTTCGATAACATTTTCGTGTTCGTGACATTTCCGTAAAGTATACTTTTTGACCTCGCGGTATACTCAGCCCGCGCGAAACTGGTGGTGGTCGCGCGGCAGCGAAGCGCCGTTACGGCGTATAAGCTGACACCTTTCTCCTTCTTTTCTCTGATTCTTTTGTAAACAAGGTATTCTATGTGCTCATTGATTTAAGATCTATGTAACCGTTTCCTTATGCATTACTCGATTTATTTTCTTTGTTATCTTTCTCAACTGGTTGGCTGTTGCTTAATATCCCCGGTGTGGCTGCGCTTGATGTCATGTTGACAAGGTGCCTACCTGTCTGTTACCCACTAGCTCGTCCATACTGGCTCCGGGAGACAGTTGGTCGACTCCCGCGACGTGCATTGTTTGCACGTTGTGGGTGCGGTTAGAAGAGGAGGAGGTGAGGCCGAGTGATGACTTGGTCGTGAGAAATGAAAACCCTCACTTCGAAGTTAGCGTCGGTTGGTTCATCCCGACTGCCTGGCTGGGGTCCTAAGGACGGTGAACACGTTTGATTGGACACACTTGCTGATATGGCTTGGAGCCGGCCCCACTGGCGTTTGTGTTGTGAGTTCCTTTGTCCATCCCCATCCTGTTTAGCGTCCCCATCCAATCACGATCTCTCTTGTTAGGCATAATATGACTCTCTTTTACGGTAGGCAGCTGTTAGCTCTCCAGAACGATGTCCATCCGTTAGTGGGGACTCAGCGGGCGTGCCACTGTGATTTTTTCTTGTCTTTTGTATTGCGGCACAATAGCTGAGGTGTTTTCCACCTCCAGCTAACGTGTAATTGATTGATCGTTGCTGGAGGGGACAGGGTGTGCGATCCTTGTGGCCGTGCTAGGATCAAGGAGTGGTTCCATGCACTCAGTGTGGAGCGGACTACGGTCTAGCCACCGCCTTGTGTGTGCGCTTGATTCCCCAAATACAGCGTGCTTTTGTTTATCTGTGTAGGAGTGTGGGCCGGCTCCGTTGATGAAACGTGGCTCCCATCCGCATGCCTCCCGGTCTTATTCCTTCGGGTTTACACTGGATATGGGGTGTGTGGATGGAGCTGTGGGTGGTGCAGCGCAATCCAGCCATGGTCCCTCTGTTGTCGCAGGCGTCCTGTGGCTGGCCGCAGTGACAATCAAATCCGAAACCGGATGCCGCCAACCCTATATGTATGTATGTGTGCCCCATGCTGCGGCTGATGTCTCATTCATGATGCTTCTTCACCGCAGTTGGGCTAAACCAACTTACACTTAAACTAGGTCTCTATAAGCTTTATTTGGTTTGTTCTGCCTACCTGAATAATTTTCTATTTACTAGCCACGTTGCTTACGATAGTTGTGGTTATCTTCCTTTACTTTATTGCGTTTGTAGCTTTTTCTGAGTCACTTTTGGATATTTTGTACTTGTCGCGGATTCGTAGCTAACCAATTTACTTCATATGCTAATTTAGGGAAGCGTTATGTCTGCAGAGCCTTATTCGTTAACCGATGTATTTTACTTGATCATGTCATTTCAAGTAATTGGCTTTGGTTTAACATCACCAGTGTGGCTGCGCTTGATGTGCATGTTGACTAGGTGTCTACCTGTCTATTACTCACTACCTCGTCCATACTGGCTCTAGGAGATAGTTTGTCGTTGCTGGAGTGCACGGGGTGCACGGTCCTTGTGGTTGTGCTAGGATCGATAGTGGTCCCATGCACTCAGTGTGGAGCGGACTACGGTCCAGCCACCGCCTTGTGTGCGCTTGATTCCCCAAATACAGCGTGCTTTTGTTTGCCTGTGAAGGAGTGTGGGCCGGCTCCGTTGATGAAACGTGGCTCCTATCCACATGCCCCGGTCTTATTCCATCAGGTTTACACTGGATATGGGGTGTGTGGATGGAGCTGTGGGTGGTGCAGCGCAAGCCATCCATGGTCCTTCTGTAGGCTCTGGCATCCTGTTGCTAACCACAGTGACAGGCAAATCTGAAACCGGATACCGCCAACCATATACTTGCAACAGTCTACGAATAGACATGGAGCCATCAGAAACCATGGGACTCGAAAGAAGGTACAGAAATAGTAAACCAAAACACAGCACACCCAAGCCGAAGTTGGGTGTTGTCTTAGGAGACACCACCCCGAGCCTTTGGCTGAATAGTCTGCTCGCAAGACAGCGGAGCGAATTCAGGGAATTGCGCTCATTGGGAGCCGGTGACTGATTACTCAGTTCATACGCCTTTCGTTTGTTCCTTTGTCAAACAGGTGCCCAATACTCCCCAGAATTACAGCACAAAGTTCTGGAATACAATGGTTCGCCAGGATGAAGCCAGGGGGCAGTGACTTTATTTCGTGGCGAGACACTTCTGCCACGTCACAGTGTTGTTAAACGGACATATGTGGCTTTTTATAGGGTGAACGCTTGCCAGGCGTAAACCCACCAATTCCTGGAACACTGCCGCCGAACCATTTGCTGGAACGAGAAATCCCGAACCACCTAGCCGGCACCTCGAGGAGGTTGTTCGTTGGTGGTAGTGTGGTGTTGATGATGCGTATTGTACAGTGTAGTGGAAGCCGCAAGGAAGCTGCTTCTCTGATTTCACTTTATCCTTTCAATATAGCCAGCTTTTTTGCATGGGGTGGGCATCTTGATCTTATAAGTGCGTAGGAAATTTATGCTTCACACGATATCTCCCTCATATTCCTTTTCTTCTCTTCTTGTTCTTGTGCTTAAACGGTAGTGATACATGGGTTTGAATTACTGATATACCTCTGTTAATGATTAGGCGCCGCCGCCGCCTCCACCTGTGTTGTACGCCATGTGTTTATTTGTCTTCGATGATTGATATCTACGATGCACCACTGGCATCTGACTTATCCTATGAATCGTTATTGTTGAAATTCGCTATCTGATGCTTCGTAGCCGGCTGTCTAGCTTCACCTCGAATGCTTGAGCTGGCTATGTCGTTTATATCGATTTAATCACGTGCATCCTTTAAGCACATTCCTTGGTGGGGAGAAGTCGTGAAGAAATCAATTAGCTGAATGTGGCACGACGGAGCCCGTCTTTTTTTTAGATAGAAACGTTTCATTTACTGCTGCTTCCAGTCGTCATTGCTTTTTCGCATCTGTTTGTGCCTCTTTCTACCCTGACGTTTTTGTTTTATTTTCGTTTTCTTCTTGTTTAAGTTCCATCGTTCTTGCTGTTCATCACTATGGCCAATTGGGCTTATTTATTTATTTATTTTCCGTCGATAGACAACAAGCTGGACAGAATTTTTATATCCCCAATATTACAACCCTGATTCGTTCTGTATTAGCAAATACAAGGCCCTACTCATTTTAATGATGCACTGAACTTACCTATTTATATCTACTTAAGGATGCGGTTTATGCTTGTGCTGTAATTTTACACATTTGTTTAAGTTTAATTGTCCCATAACATCACTACTAATCTCCGGAAAGCTGTTGCGCCTTACGAAGCAGATTGTTTTGCACCTAACGTCTTTCCCCCTCCCCTAGCTACTACAGCCGGAGCTGCACATTGTACACTTGCACTTTTTTAATCCTTAACTACTTTTTCGACCTGCTCCTTGTGATTGGTAAAAGTGCCCTCTTAGGTGATGCACAATCTTTGGGTCCTCTGTAAGGTGGCTTTCTCACACTTTTGTTCTGCTGTGTCTGTTTTAACACTTTGCTCTCCGTCTTTTGTATTACAGCTCATTAGCCAATGTCCTGCACACAACCTCTTCAACGTACGCCTTAGTTTCGATCGTCTACCACAGGCTGAGATCACAATGTATCTCGTCAGTCAGGCGATTACCGGTGCCTCGGATTTTCTCCCAAACACTGGAGGAACCTCTACTGCTGCGATGACTACCGGTTATTCTGCTGATGACCAAACAGGCGTTGGAAGCACACAGTACTCGAACTCGGCTGGAGGCTTTCAACTTGCTTCAACCCTGAACAGATTGACAGAGAATGTCATCGTCGACGGTTACTCTCGCGTGTTTAGCGAAGTTCTGTTTACGGTAGGCAGCCCTGGTCCCCTACTTTCTATCTAAAGATATATATTTTGTTTTCTTGTTATGTTACAGCCGACATTAGACGATATTTCTCTCAATTGCTTGTCCCGGGTTTAGTACCATCATTTTTGATGTACCGTAGTTCTGTAAACGCATAACGTTACGACACTGCTCATTTCGTTCGCAGTTTCCCGCCTCTTTCATTGGAGTCAATACTCCGACCTTAATATATTATTATTATCATTATTGTTATTATTATTATCATCCTTATTATTAAAAATTATTATCAACACCTGACCAATATACATTTGGCAGTGCCGCAACACTTAGTTTACAACAACAACAAAGGGGAAAACAGGTAGATAGTGGAAAAGTTTGGAATGTTTACATGGTTACTGTGTTGTGCAGGCAGAGATCTTCCCGATTGCCCAGGCCGAGGAAGTGAGTTGACTTAAGGGACCCCACCCCGAGCTTTTGCTCATGAAGACCTGACCCCGCAAGGCAGCGGAATGATTAACGGAGACCGTTGACATCCGGGTAGCTCATTCGCTTTCCTTGTGTTCAGTAGTAGTCCACAGAGAACCCGGTGGCCAACAAGGTTGTTCCTCCGCCCTCTGTTAAATAAATACTCACCTCCAGTTACAGAAGTGAGTGGTCAGTGACCCTATAGCCGGTCATATAGGCTTTGACACAGCGCCGTACGAGCTCTTGTGGTATTTGATGGAGAACCAGATGGTCAGCCCAGAACTCCCTACGCTCTGAGACATTGTCGCTGATTGTCCGCGACTACTTATTTATGTCGCGTGCAAGGCAACTGAGACTTATTCGCAGTTTCCTCCACAAGGAATGCATTCCCCTTTCCGCAATCTGTGGACGCGCCCGATAGTGTACAGCTCCGCCAAAACAGTGACGCAAATGTCCCACTCTAGGGCCTCAGTGAGGTCCAGCTACTAGCTGACCGGTATCACGAGGTCCTTGTGGCTTTTCAGAGGCTCAGCCATTTATGCAAACGGCGGGATATCAGCCGTAAAGGACATACCTCGTTAACCTGAGAATCTACACTATTATTATTATTATTACTAAAGATAGGGGGTATAACGCCTTGATACGGCTGGCGTTGCTGTGTGGATCAGTGACCTGACAACTTTGCAATAAAGACATTAAAAACGATTTTCCCTGTTTGATCACTGGTGCTTGCGCGGAGTATTGCTCACATTTAATGGGAACATCGAGAGACCAATACTGAGGTTCACCGGTTGCTTTTGACAAGAAGCATTCTGTTGCCTCACTCGAGTGTTTAAGCTCAACCGCCTATGTTTGCAAGGTCATGTCCTCCTTATGCCCGTTACCCAGCTTCCTCGGCTTGCACTGTACGCAGTGGCTGCACCAAGTTGAACGATACCGCGAGGTGGCCGGTCGATAACCTGCTATAAAGATTTGAGGAAACCGACCGACAGACTTGTTCTGGCTGGGTCAGAGAATAGTTAACGGCGCCCGATCTACTGCATTGTACTGGGTGGTTAGGGATTTGGATGCTGCTGCTCAAGCCTTCCCGTCTTCTTATTCCTCTTCTTGCGCTTTTTTTCATCCTTATCGTCCCGTTCCAACTTTATTTTTATCACCCACCTTTTCAAACCCCAAATTCTTGACTCTCCCCTACCATGTTTTGATAGGCGTTTATCTTCTAGTTTCGGCTTACGTGCAGACGCGCAGCGTCGCTCCTGTCTTATCGACAAGCCCATGTCTAATCAAGCAGTGAAGCCCAGTTCATCGGCTTCTATTGGTAGCCTTCGCTCCTCCCTCAGATTGGCATGCCTCAACTTACGCACATTAATACAGGTAGCATTTGCCCGAATCTTAGAGACCCTCTCGCTCACTATCTGCTACCTATCGGAAACCCGCCTGCAAGACTCGAGCTCTGTGCTCGCTATACGATTCCCTTCTGGTAACACTAGCAGTGCTTTCTCTGCGCCTATCCGGAGACGATACAGCTTTGAGTACCGGCGAATCTTGTCTTGGTATTACCCTGAGTCATTGGGCTGAAGCTGCTCTGGTTGATTGGATCCCAGTCAGTAGCCGGATGTGTGCCGTCCGACTGGCTAGCTCATTGAAAGCTTCGAATTGGCGCGGGGCTAATAGGTATCTATTTGTGATCTCTGCCTACGCGCTCACAAACTGTAGCGATGATTCGGTAAAAGACGACTTCTATCCTCAGTTGAGCGAGCTCCTTCGCCACAGAGGAAGCACAGAAACTGTAGTACTGGCTGTGGATCTGAACACTCGAGTTGGAAAATTGTCCACTGATGAGCTGCATCTGGGCGACTACCATGGTGTAGGCTCCCGTAATGATAACGGCGATCGGTTACTGCATTTAGGTGAAGATGCTCGCTTATTTTTTGCGAGCACTAACTTCCAACGCAGCACTTACCGGGGGGTGACATGGCGCTTGTTAGCCTCCGACCAGCCATGGACGCAGATCGATCGTATTGCGATTAGTTACCGCTCGTGAGGCTGTGTATAAAACTGTCGCTCGATTTAGTGCACATGTGTGGACATTGACCATGCACTTGTATGTGCTGATCTGCGGGTGCGTTTTGACGGTCGCCCTCGACAATCCTGTGAGCGCATAGACACCAGCCAACTGGCAAAGCCAGTTGTTCTCAATGCGTATCGAAGTGCACTGGCATTCTTATTGAGTAAGCGCTCACTGAATACAGTTGAAAGTCACTGGTCTCATGTTCAACAGACCTTACTAGCAGCAGGCAAATCCTCATGTGGCAAGTCTAATCGCCAACGGGAACCTTGGGTCTCTTTAGTCTCTGGAACTTATCGATGCTCGCCGGTATATTCCGGCTGGAAATGAACGCAATGAGACTCGCAAAGAGCTTCGGACAAAACTCCATGCTAGTCTGAAGAGAGACCGCAAATCTTAATGCTCTCATCATGCATCAGAAATGGAAGTGGTCGCTGCCCTTGGTAACCGTCGGAAATTCCTCCGTCTCATACGTGAAACGGGCACCAGGAGATTTAGTGTTAGTGAAAATATGTGTGCCGAGAGTGGACAGCCTATCCACAACTTGTCAAAACGCTTGAAGCGTTGGGCTGAGCATTTTGAAAAGCAATGTAGTCGATCGGAATTGTCAGATTTCTCGCCATCCACTGATCGCCTTGCTTCTTGGGCTGTCCCTTTGGATGCACCCTCTGGCTCAGTAGTCAGACGTGAGATCGGACTGCTGAAGTTGAATAAAGCCGCGGGACCAGATGATCTTCCTCCAGCCCTCTTCAAATTCCGGGGGCGCTGCTCTTGTTGACGATTTACACGAGTTACTAGTGAAACTGTGAGCAGGAAGCTGTCCGAACCGACAGGAGCCGCTCCGTTATTGTTCCGATCTTTAAAGGAGGCTCACTTTCGGAATTCGGTAACCATAGAGGAATCAGTCTGATCACCATCGCATCCAAATTTGTTGCTTCTGTCATCCTTCACAGATTGACTCATACTCGTAAAAGCCAGATTCGTGGGGGGCAGGCCGGGTTTCATCGTGGTCGGGATACATCGTTCATATATTCACCTTACGTCAGTTATTGGAGCACCGTCACATATATTGGCATCCCACCGTTGTCGTGTTCCTCGGTATCAAAAATGCCTTAGATTCGGCGGGTCGATGTGCCTTTTGGGACTGTCTATTCAGGAAAGATGTGCCCGAGAAATATCTACATATTATCCGAGCGTTATACACGAGTAGCTCGGACAGAATGAGGGCTTACGGCAAGCTGTCGCCCCTTTTCCATAGTTCCAGCGGTGTAAGACAACGATGCCCGCTGTCCCCTTTCCTGTTCAACTGCGCTATTGACGGTCACGGAGATTGGGTTCACAGGGCACGACCTAGATGGTGTGGAACTGCTGCCAGGTGAACGAATTTTTAAGTTGGAGTATGCTGACGACGTTGCCGTTATCTTTGACAGCTCACAAACGTGCCAAACAGCACTAGACAGATAAGCACTGACTGCCCATCGCTTCTGGTTATACTTTGCTCCCCCGAAGTGCAAAGTTTTCCTCCAGGATTGGCAGGGATTGCCTCCTGCGCCGACCCTTAGTGGGGATCAGCTAGAAGTCATTCAAGGATATAACTACCATTGCATTTGTATCGGCGTCGTCGTAATTGAAGACTTGATTACTAAGTGTATGGCAAAAGTTCGGGGCGCTTTTGATAATCTTCGCTACCTCTGACGCCGGCGCAGCATCACTCTCTCCCTGAAGGGTAGAGTGTACAATGCACCCGTACGTTCGACCCTACTGTACGGTTGTGAAACGGCCCATTAAATCGGCATACATTAGGTAGCTAATTACCTTCGACGACCGGTGCCTTCGCAGTTTTTCTCATATCTGGTGGGAACACCGTGTTAGCAATGAGCGTGTTCGACGCCTCCTTTATGGCATTGGAAGTAGAAGTGAACCGCTCGACACCGTTATATCACGCACCAGGCCCCGTTTTCTGAGTCATGTGTTGCACATACCAACTCACCGAGTCCCGCGACGTGCGTTATTTACACGCGGGTATGGTTGGAGGAAGAGGAGACAGAGCCAAGCGATGGCTTTGTCAAGAGGAATTAAGACCCTTATTTCGACTTTGGCCTCCGTTGAAGCCTCTCGGCTCCCTGTTTGGCGTCCGAAAGACGATGAACACGTTTGGCTGGATACACTTGTTGTTATGACTAGGATCCGACCTCAGTGGCATTCGTGTTGTGAGTTTCTTTGTCCGTCCCCCTCCCTTGGTGGGTTTTCGCCTGGCAAGCGTTCTCCCTATAAAAAGCCACATATGTCCGTTTAACAACACTGTGACATGGCGGACGTGACTCGCCACTAAATAAAGTCACTTCCCTTTCTTCATCCTGGCAAACCATTGTATTCCAGAACTTTGTGCTGTAATTCTGGGGAGTATTGGGCCCCTGTTTGACAAAGGAACAAACGAAAGGCGTAAGAACTGAGCAATCAGTCCCCGGTTCCC